ATGCAGTTCTAATTAGCTTTTTGCTACTCCAAAAAATGACTACTGTCCATCGTCATGTTATCTGGTTTAAAACCAAAACCCTGGGGTTAATTTGTGTCTAATTTTCTTAGGAGCAGTATCACATGGTAAAACTTTCTGGGTTATAATCCAGCCCAGAACCTTTGTCACATCTCTCTTTCTCTCTCTCTTAAAAAAAACAAAAAAAAACAAGAAAATAATCTTTTCGAAGTTTCATTGAACAGTGCATGTCATATACAGTACGGACATCTTTTGTAACGCAACTACTCATGTAACACTAGATTGTATAGAATAGGCTTGTTCTACAGCAGTTTATATAGTCTCAACAAGATATGCTCATTCATTCATTCATTGAGTTAGTGATAAAGTATTTGCTTAGGGCTTTTATGGACCATCCCATACTCTTCAAATAAAATAAAAGCATAATAAACCACAACAAATCCCTCCACCTATCCATGTCCTTCTTATTTGTTTTTCTACTAAGGCACAGCAATGAGATTGGCATGGCCTGAGAGAAAGTAAAGGAAATGAAATGCAATAAAAAAATACGAAAACAGTTCACTAATGCCTCTTTAGCGCAATGGTCCATCAACAAGGAACTGCTGAAAGGAAAAGTGCCTGTGCTTGATCATGATCATAGCATTATGAAACCCCATAAACATTCCCTGATCTCCAACAGCAACATGGATGTTGCTGTAGCCCAAAGATGCTGACTCACTAGCGCTCTCCACAGAGACAAGGGAATCACTGCAATGAGCTAGCCAGCACACACAAAAACCTGGGTGACATGCTGTTGGCAGGTTAAAATCAGGAACGGGGGTTCAGGAATGTTGTTCTGCTCTGAGAGGTATTTATTATATTTCACATTACAGCTGGAGGCTATATGCACTTTAAATACAAGGGAAGGTTTAACGTCCATTCAAACTTAAACCGTAAGGTAAATCTGCTCTCACCGATGGATTAAGAAAAAGATTAGTTTAATATCCATCCACATACAAAAAGCACAAACATTGCTGAATGTTTTTTGTGAGACTTTTGGTGCTCTTATCTGCGTACAATGGGTCATTTTTATTTGCCTTTGAAAGGAGCTTGGTGGAGGAGACCTCTGCCAACACCAGCGAGGTGTGGAACACGGTCAGATAGAGGACAAAACTGAGATAAAAAGTAGCAGCGGCCTTGCATCCCATAGGCTAACAAGCTGTTTTTATATGCTGCCAAGAACTTCCCATCAGTTTTCTTTCCTGTGTTCAATGGTGAGATGTCAATATGCTATAGCCTGCTGTGTGCCCTTGGACAGGCCTGCTCTGAAATACAGTTGGTCAGCCAAAAACACATGCAGGCCTCGACTAAGACCATTTATTTTCATGGAGGTGTGATCTTAGTGTTGACCAGATAAACAACAGGGTGTCCTGATAGCCGAATAGTTAAGGCACATACCACATAACTGCACCATCTCCGGTACGGTTCTGGCCTTTGTTGTGTGTAATGCCCCTCTCTTCCCCCGTTTCCTGTCTGCTTCTGTTCTGTCTGCTATCAAATAAAGGCAAAAGCTAATTATCCTTAAAAAAAAAAAAAAATCATTTTAACCTTTTATTCCAAAATACTGTTAATTTCCCTGAGCAATCTGTGGAACAACACAAACATCCTGTGAACTGTTAACTCCTGTAAGTTAGTGGCATCAAGCACTAAAATGCTTTCAGCATAATGATAGCAATCATCAGAGGAATTCTCACATTTCAAGCTCATCATTTTAAGCTTATTTACTAGGAAATGTGTCTTCTTCACAAACTGCAGATTAAAGCTTAAAAAGGTCTTGCTGGGTGGTTAGTGGCTCATTATGAATTTCAAAAAATGATGAAGAGAAAATACTGTAGTTTTAATGTTCTAAAATGCCCAACACTGACAAATACTGGTATTCTGTATAAGAAGTACAGATTTCTTAAGGATACCTTCACAAGTCATCAATTAAGAAATATGTTAATCCTGCCAAAATAAGAGCCTGCAAAGGAGGAGACGGATAATTATTTGGATACAAAAGACTTTCTGGGTCGATGATAACTTATAGACTATGTTGCTTGTTTGTCATGTGATCGAGGTGGCTAAATGCCCGTTTAGTAACAAGCATCTACAGCACCCACTCAGATTTTATTCACAATATAGCTTAAAAGAGTATAAAAATTCAACCATCATACTTACAATATCCAAATAGCCAAACCAGGTCATATTTCAAAGGCTTAATGCTGCTCCAACCTACATACAACTATGACACAAAGAAGCGACAAAGCAAACAGGTGGCAGGTAGCTTGGGTAATAATCTAAAACTAACTGAAAACAGGTGTTTGTCACTTTAGTCTGACAAAACTATTAATAGTCTGACAGCTGAATAAGTGACTTCTCAGTTGATGCCTGTGATATAACTGCCGTCTAAAATACTTTGTCTTTTCAGAAATATGGAAAGAGTAAATTTAGGGTTCACCATCTCGACACAAAAATGCAATCATTAGCCAGCTTGAATTGAAAATCAAGACAAGGATAATTTGATATATAAACAAGAAACATCCTTTCTTACAACACTTTCTTACCTAAGTTTTAAAAAATCACCCTTTCCTTTAGTCTTACTTTTCCTCGTGTTTATTGTTTGTGAACATGAGCTGGATGAGTAGATGTGCAGGCCAGCCTATTAGCAGAGAAGGCTCTATTCAGTTATCTGTCACACCCATCATTACCATATGGTTTGAGGTCAATGCCTGGCGGCTGCTGTCACTGGGTCTTTGACATAAGCTAAATTCCATAAAAACCACACTAGTTGTTCTACACAAAACAAAATTTGGGTTGTTTTTTTTAAAACAGAAGTTTTTTCAGAACTGGCTTCCTTTAGGGCAGAGCTACAATAACTGAATGTCAGTTCACCTGAGGGTTTAGTCACTCATGTGTAGCAGAAATAAACAACTAGTCATCTCCTCAACAAAGGCAAACGTTGTGTAAGTTGGAAAAAAAAAAAAAAAGTAGTCTACAGGCTGCAAATTTGCCTACAGCCATTAGGCTGGAATAGCCGCAGCATAAATATGACCATGTAAGCATAATAGCATTAAGCAGTAAAAGACAAAGTAAAAGTCTTTATTTATAAAAGTAGTGTCTGCTACAGTAAAACCTCCAAAGAAGAATAATGCATGTTTGCATAGGTTTCAGAAATGATCAATACAGTCATAGTTTGGTTTTCTTACATAGTGCCCTCTCTTCGATGTCACTCACGACACATTCAATGTGTCCTGTCTGCAACAAGTTAGGGTCCGAGAGTTGGTCACACAGTCCACTTGTAATTTGGTAAGGTTGTATCATGGCAACAGCTAGCACCAAATTCCTCTGTCAGTGCTGTCATTTTGTGTGGTCTTTTTTAACACTACGCTGACTATGCAGGAGTACAGTCCTTCACCATGCTCCAGCTCGCAGTTGAAACAGAATCCACCATAGGCCAGATCTCTCTGCCATAGTCATGATTCAAACCATAGTTATTACCCAGCAGTGTGCAATAATTAAGTGCTTACATTCCTGTTCATCCCATCCTCTTGGAACTGGTCTAAAACATTACCTAAAAGCATGCATAAGACTAGCAGAATTTGTCAAAGGTTTAGTGACAAGTTCATATTGATTTATAGGAAAGAGAGAGACATAGTTTTGGCCTGGGTTTTGTGCCAGGTCTCTAGTGTTTCACAGCACGGAAGGAGGCCCTGCGCCTATTGAGTGCCTGACCTCCGAGGACAGCCAAGCAGTCGGCTCCAACAGTCCACAGAGTTACAGCTGTGCAGCTTTCCAAAGAAAACTGTTTGTCACAGAAAATCTTAAATCCTCGAGCAAGTAAGCTGCACTTTGTTTTTCCTCTTAGCATGCACGCAAAACTAAAACTGACTATAATATAAACGCACTGTTGAAACAAGAAAAACAAGACATCAATTTCTTTATTACATGTCATGAGTGAATTCACAACAATGCGTCCTGTGTTTACCTTTGGTACCCAATACTTTGCATTAACGTGCAACTAAGGTTACACAATAACCGTGAATGTAAACTGTGAATGCCCCACTTTGTTCCCCATAAGATCTGTTACTCCGAGGCCAGGAGGCATAATAGACATAAATCAGTTTGTATTAACTGTAGCACGACTGTGCTGGTGCCAGTGGCCGGATAGGACTTTGTAATCTCAACTCAAGAACGGTCTGAAGAAGAAGTTCAAAGTTCCTCTCAGGTCCCACATCTTGGGAGGCCCATTATAAACAAGCTGATAACACTGGGTGGGCAAGTTTCACTGCATTTCACACTGTCCCCCCCCCTTTGTGAGATGACAGGACAATGTCTGTGTACTATTTTTCCTCTGGCTTTATACATTCCCAGGGAAAAGGCTTCAGTTACAGCTTCCTCTCTATTGTTGTATTTTTTCAGCAGCACCCATCCCATCCCTACAATGTGGGCAAAGGCCCAAAAACCATAATCTCTCAGACTGAAGCTGGCACAGTGGCATGGACTGTAATAATTTCTTGGTCACAGGTATTACAAGTATGCAGAGGACTAATATTTTCAACCAGTACAGTTATAGAGAGTCTCACTTGCACAGTGCAGCTTTATCCACAGCAGCAGCAGTGAGTTTTATGGAAAATAACATCCCCATGCCACATTACAACACATTACAACACATTACAACAGTAGTTTAAGGGTGTAGCTAGTCGGCTAGTTATCGTGTTTCACATGTAAACACACCGGGGTCTGGGTCAACCAGTTGTTCACACAACACTGACTTGACAAAATCTACAGACTAGAGCTGACATATTAGCATTAAACAACAACAAAGCTACACCTTATGGTTGATACTCACACACCTGAGGGACACCACTGTCTGATTGGGAGCCCAACTGGCAAGAAACCAAACGTTATAACCAGTATTTGGTTGTAATAAGCAAATACCACAGCATTTCGACTCATTTACTTACCAGATAATCCATGTACTATCGCTGACCAGTCACAGCAGCACGAACAGGCTTTTGGAGTATTCCCGTTTTTGCTTCAGTGAGTCCAAAATCTTGTAGATTAGACCACAAGTCGCTTTGTATTCCCCGCCTTTCGACAGCCACAGCAAAATAAAAACCAACCTTTGGTGGGTTTAAAAGCAGGATTCTTGTCGCCGTCTGCTTCGCCAGTGAAACCGCTTTCAGTACACAAACGACCGAGTTTGTTTATAACGACGAGAACCGCTGGGTTCGCGTGCTTTTTCTGAATATGTAGCCCCTCGTCCACCGGCTGACTTCCAGTTTTTATCACACAATTATCAGTTGAGTGTTTGGTTGAGGAAACTAGCGAAGCCTACAACGTAACGTCACGCACGTCGTCTGGGGCACGTAGCGTGGTCACATGACCAAACACATGGTGGCTATTTTCATTCTGAGGAGGAATCGTAGCTGAAACGCTCTTTGTTAGGATCAACGTTTCTGTTCATGCTATGCATTTTTATTTTGATTGATAATCTGTGTATCTGATGTATTCACTGCAATTATTATTTATAGTAATAATACATGATCTCTCTCACATTGCCCAGTAGAGGTTATGACTTTGTCACTTCCCCTTATGAGTTATCTAACGCCAATTTACAGATCTACAGGGTTACATCGCTTACCTATATCTTATGTTATCGCATATATTATATAAGATTATATAAGATAGAACTTTAATTATCCGGTGGGAAGTTTGTTGTGCAGCAGTTGCAGTACAAAGTAGAACAAAAGCGCCACTATAAAGAATCCAAATATAAAATATCAATAAATATAAACACATATCCAAAATATACACAATGCTAAACTAAACTTTATTTACATTGCACCTTTCGCACAAACAATACAATTCAAAGTGATTTAATCACGTTGTATACAACATTTAGACAAACTATAAAATGCATTAAAACGGTAGAATTAAAAAGAAATTAAAAAAAGATCAAATCTAATAAAAAATTAACTTTCAGTAATATTCAATAAAAACAAGGCTTATATAACATTTAAGTTTTTTCTTAAAGGAATTTACAAAAGTTATCACAAAAATAACATACTACCAGAAGATAATCCAATTTCTAACAATGAGATATTTGTTATCCCAAAATGTATTCCACCACTAGGTGGCTCTGTGTTGTATTGTATTAAATCACAATTGCCTCAATTTCCCATTTTGTAGCAATAACAAGCTAAAGAATCTGACCCTGTGCCTACACATAAATGCAGTTGCAGTTTTCCACAGTACTATCAAGCTTGCACATGCAACAGCCTCTGATGTAATACATTACACAATGCATAATGAATGAAAGGGGATGACACAGTAAGCACAAACACAGTTCAAAGTAAAAGAGTGGCTCCTCTGAAGCACGTAGGCCTGATCACAGATGTTACAGACGGTGGATAAAGGAAAGGTTGTGCATTTGTGAGATGAATACACAACCTTGTGATGTGTTAATGTGTATCAAGTGTCAGAACAGCACTTGTGTCAGTTGGTTACTGTATACTTTCAGTTAGTGTTGTTGCTGTTTTTCTCTCAAAAGAGCCATATAAAAGAAATCTAACTTAAATTGAATAGGTATGACTTTGACATTGCTCCAATTAGCTTCCCCAACAGACTTCACTGAAACACTTTTTAGACTTGGAAAGCCATCAAACCAGTGAGGACCAAATTAACAGGACAGAAAATAGCAAGAAATATCTAGTGTGAAGCAAACATGGAGCCCAGACAAAGCAATTATGTGATATCCTCCGGATTAGAGGAACAGTATACGTCACAAGTCTGCTAATGTGATGCAAGCTGCATACTGAAGTAATTCCTGTTCCCTAGAGACTACACTCCTCTTCAATATTTCATGTGCTGTGCTATAAAGAAAATCTCCCTGAACACAGTCAGAAGTGGAAGTGAACTGGATGTCCTATGCATAGGACTAACATGTATGGAGGATGATGAAGAAGACACAACAAGACTTGTATACTTATATATTTATGCATTTATAAACTCAATATAGTAGTGTTGTCTTCATCAGGAGACCTGACCCAGCCCAATGTGAGAGGAGAGACCTCTGGTGGCCAGTAGTAAAATGCTATGGTGGTTGAGTAAAAGCCAGTGGTTCCCAACCTAGGGGCTGGGACCCCCACTAGGGGTCGCCAAAGCTTTTTTGGGGGTCACAAGGGCCTTCTTGATTTTGAAGCATGTAGGTAAACTTTAAAAATATACACAGTAGGTACAGTTATAACAACCAAAGAGCTAATAGAACAAGCATCAGGGAGAAGAAAACACTGAATTTGTCAAAAAAAGAGAGAGAAGCCTATTAAGTATGTATGATTGTTAAAAATATACATAATGCAGACAGAGAATTATAAAAAGTTCCTGAAATATCAGGAAAACTGATGATTCAATATTCACAGGAAATAATCTGCTCAAAACTCATCCAAAACGCTAATTTTACACAAACTTCCTGCCATTATTGTGGTCACTATTTGGGTTTATTGTACAGTTTATCAGTTGTTATTGTTATGAATTTAACATAATTTGAAATATCCATAAAATATGTAATTCAGTCAGGGGTTGTCAGTTTAGTCAACTGCAGAAAAGGGGTCCCTTCAGAAAAAATGTTGGGAACCACCGAGTTAAGCAGTGGTTTACCTTACTTTAATTTGGAGGCTTTTGTCCAAAATGAGTCAAATTTTATTTTCCTATACACACACATCAGGAGCTATTTGGAGTTCAGTGTCTCACTCAAGGACATTTCAACACACTGACCGAAGGAGCTAAGACGACACGTGTCTAACCTTCTCTGTCCCCTGAGCTACAGGTGCCCCCATGTGACTGTAAGGCCATACACCAGCATATCATAGGTTACATTTCATATTTGATGCAATGCCATTGCTTCAGTTACGTAAGAGTGTGACAGCACTAAGGTCAGATGCGTTCTTGAAAGCTTTGAGAAACATTAGATTAGTATTCTTAACAATTATTACAACCAAACAGATTTTTATTCCTATCATAAATATTATTTTTACCTTATGTAAATAATTCATATGCCTCCACTTTGAAAAACAAATCCCCAAAACGCCCCAAGGGGGCAGTATCTACCAGAGTAAAGGGGAGAGCATCATTACAGGCCTTGTATTATCTTTCCCAAAGGAAATGATGTGTTGATGTAACACTGTCAACAAAACACATCATGGGTGGTTTAAGTTGTGCATATCTGCCTCTGAGAAAACACAGAATGATTGCTCTGAGTCATGATATACAAGCACAAACTCAGTTAATATAAATGTTGGATTGTATTAGTCTTGTCAAAAGAAAACAACATATCAGTTTAGGATTTTGTGTTATTCTTGTGGTCTACAATTTCAGTGAGTATCTGTGAACATACGGCAGTTGTTTGAAACTAGAGAGCTGAATGTAGTCAGAAGACAACAATTTGTGCTGACAAATACTCATTTTATATTAATTTTCATGCTAAAAATTCCAACAGATTAGATGGATTCAGTGTTTCATAAGAATTATGTTCTTTACAGGGAAAAGAGGCGGCGTGTAGATCATGGGACACTAAAACTCTCCATTTAAAGCAATGGTTACGATCCGGTTAGGGCTCTATGAGGCAGGTTTGATTGCAGATTTTATAGACTGCCAGCCCTGAAGCTGTTGAAGTATCCTTACGGCACCATTGGACCATTAAATTGAATGTCTACACTAGATGATCTAAATGAGAAAATTAAACATTGTATAAAAACTCTGTATAAAAATATACTTATATCACCTTGAACAGGATGCTGGCCAATGTCAGCGCCACCTTCACTCTGCAGTCACCAGTTTATGTTCTGTGAAGCGGTCCATTTGAGTGTACTCACAGATTAGTCAATGGGACAGACCCCTGTCTAATTTTAAAATATTGGCTAGAGGAAGAATACAATCTCCCTAAACCTGCAGCAAAAGTACCAGCTATTTCCTGTTGATTACAGGCAACGGTTACAGATTTGATGAACAAATGTCACATTGTCCACTTCAGTGCATCAATAAAATAAGACTTTTACGTCACTCTAGGTGGACATTAATCATGCCTGTTCACACTGGAATCTGATATGGGCCACATTCAAAACAATAAGGCGAACAGCCAAACAAAACCAAAAAAATCTAATCTGAGCAATACATCAGCACTGAGGTTTGCAGTGTGAACATAGCCTAAAACAGAGTTAAGAGATTTAGTATGAGACAGCATAACTGCCGGCCTAAATCATCAATAGATGTATTCATGTATTTTCAGTTCAGTGATTTACATATAATTTATTACATAATGTTGGACTGAAAAAGAGACATGCTTTAAGGGATTTTGCTGCCCAGTTTTTAACTAATAATGGTATGAGCATGATCAAATAACCATGTGTCAGCATGATGTCAGCATTTTTTAGATGCCATTCCTTCAGAAGATGGAATATGACATGGGTTGGCAAGGTCCCAGATTAATCTAACAGCCAACCTATCATCTACATCAGTGGTATTCTTAAAGACGTGAGTTTATGGTGGGCTACTCAGAATGTGATTAATATAACAACCAGTTGAATACGAATGTCAAAGCTGACTTATTTTCCACACTTCCGTACACATTTGAGTCATCAAAGTGGGCATGGATCACTGGTTCCTACTTGCTAGCACTGAGGTCATGTCCTCTGTATTACTTGGAGTTTGGGGGCTTTACCAACTTAGTGGGCATTTACTTTCTAAATCTTAAACATTGTGGGGGTTTATGTACTGATTCCATCACAATAAGTTAAATCAAGTGTTTCATTGCCTTGTGTGTGGAGAAGGGCTTTGAAATAGCATTACTGCATGGAAATAAAATGTATAATTTACAGGAAACTGAAATAAATAAGATATGAAAAATCCATTCAGGGGACTTGGACTCATGGCCTCAGTATTTATAAACTCTAGAAATAGAAGAAATTAAAGAATTAGTCTCAAAGAGTGTAACTGTATTATGTTCAGAACCGGCAGTGTCTTCTGCATTTTGGAGAATGTGAAGGTTTTAGAAACTCGTCACTATGTGCAATTTATAGTCTGCTGGAAATCAGGTGTGAAAATAGTCTTGATCAGGGGTATTGATCAGTAACTCATTACTAGTAATAATATTACAGTAATAATATTACTTTCCCCAGTAACTAGTAGGCTAGTCTAACTAATTAATGTTGGCAGGGAGTAATAACTTAAGTAATAACATTACTTTTGAAAAGAGTAATGAGTAATATATACATTTTTTGAGTAACTAGCCCAACACTGATGATCACTGACTACCTCAGGGTACATACCTACATGGGTGGTAGTTGCATTGTAGTTTTTTATAAATAATCTTAATCTGAAGAATAACTACTACTAAATGTAGTGAAGTATACATTTTTAAAGCATAAAATGGAAATAAAATTACAAAAATTTTAACTTTTCAGTGCTGTGAATGTAAGAAAACACTTAGTATCCCTAAAAGCCACAAAATAATACACCCCTCTTCAGTATTTATTTATTTGCATGACAGAAACACTTATTTATAGACATTGTACATTTCCTACTGTAGATGCCTCTGCAGTTAGCCATATGTATCAGGTGCCATCTTTAGGTATATACTTTTGGTCAGACTTAGAGGAAAGTGTTTAAAGTGATTAATGTAAAATTGTTGGTCATTGTTGCTTTTTATATGTATTTACACCTATTCACCTACTTGTACTGTAAATTCATAACAGCACTACTTTGTTAAACCTTTTGTTTGTACACCTTTATTGTATTGTTCTTAGCATTAGCCTGTGTCTAATTCTGTCTTCCTGTAAATTGTTCTTGCAACTGTGTGTAAGTACACTGAGAGGAGAACCTAAAACAGGAGTCAAATTTCTTGCATGTGTACAGTCACTTGGCCAGTGAAGCTGATTGACTGTAAGACCTCAGTATGTTTATAATAAGGCATTACCTTTCTCCCCTTAAAATGGGCCAACCCTTACTGTTTAGCTGGTGAGGTGATGATGTGGTTTTTTTGGGGGGGGCATTTGGAGCACTCAACAAGTCTTGGAGAAGCGTTTGATTTATGTTGTCTGAGAGGATTGCCGCATCCTGTAGCTCCGCCCTCGATTATTCAGCCTGGGCGACGTGCGGTCGCTGCGCAGCGCGTGAAGGCAGAAGCGTCCGACTGGGCTCGGAGGGAGACTGGAGGAGCTCACATTAGTGTTGTTGTAGCGGAAAATATACCTTCGCTCCAGTTTCTCACCCTGCAACCTCTGGATTTAAACAGAAAAAAACAACAACAACAAAACACCGCAGTTTCCTCTCAGGGTTTGACCGTGAAGGAGGACCGCTTCAGGCTGGGATATAAAAAGGTTTGGGGTGTTTTTTTTTTCTCACAGAAGTTTGTGCGCGGAGTTTCGAGAGTTAGTTTCGGGTGGGCTGACTGAGCTAGCCTGGCTGCCCGCTGCGCCCTCCCTCCTGCCCCCGGTCAGCCAGCCCGCTGTAAGTTACCCCTCTGTCCCTGCTCTTTCTACTCCAGCTGTGGTGAATCATGGCGCTCCGAGCCAGGGCGCTGTACGACTTCAACTCTGAAAACCCCGGGGAGGTGTCGGTGAGGGAGAACGAAATCCTAACTTTGTACAGCGAACAGGACATTGACGGCTGGTTTGAGGGGGCGAACAGCAAAGGGGAGAGGGGACTGTTCCCCGCGTCCTACGTGGAGATCCTGAGGAACGACGCCGCCTCCACGTTCAACAACAACAGCTGCAGCACATCTGGGGACACTTACCCGGACTCCCGATACGCCAACATCCCATCCGGAGGTTTTGACGGCTCCTATAAGCCTCCGAATAAAGTTGAGAACTTTTCCAAAGCGTCTTCGCCCCCTTTCACCACTTTCTCAGCCCCAACGCAACCGCAGCAACATCCACAGCAGCCGCAGACTTATCAGCAGCCCAGCCCGGGGAGCGATGATGACTGGGATGATGACTGGGATGACAGCTCTACTGTTGCAGATGAGCCAGGGACTGTGGGAGGAAGGTATCATGACTTTGAAGGCAACGGGCCATCCACTTACAGAGTGTCAACATCCTCCATGGCAAGAGGCAATGCACAGCAAGCAAAGAGCTCTGCCACAGTCAGCAGAAACCTGAACAGGTTCTCCACCTTCGTGAAGTCAGGAGGAGAGGCGTTTGTGCTCGGGGAGGCGTCAGGCTTTGTGAAGGACGGGGATAAGATCTGCGTGGTGATGGGTCAGTATGGTCCAGAGTGGCAGGAGAACCCGTACCCCTTCGCTTGTACGATCGACGACCCCACTAAGCAGACGAAGTTCAAGGGCATGAAAAGCTACATCTCCTATAAGCTGACCCCCACCCACACGCAGAACCAGGTGAACAGGAGGTATAAGCACTTTGACTGGCTTTATGCTCGGCTGGTGGAGAAATTCCCTGTCATCTCAGTGCCACACATCCCAGAGAAGCAGGCCACCGGGCGCTTTGAGGAGGACTTCATCTCCAAGAGGAGGAAAGGCCTCATCTGGTGGATGAACCACATGACCAGCCACCCTGTCCTGGCCAGGTGTGATGTTTTCCAGCACTTCCTCTCCTGCAACAGCACAGACGAGAAGGCCTGGAAGCAGGGTAAGAGGAAGGCTGAGAAGGACGAGATGGTCGGGGCCAACTTTTTCCTCACGATCAGCACTCCTGCAGCTCCGCTTGATTTCCAGGAGGTCGAGAGCAAAATAGACGGATTCAAGACTTTCACCAAAAGGATGGATGACAGCACCTTGCAGCTCAACGCCACTGTCAATGAGTTCGCCCGCAAGCAGATCAGTGGCTTTAAGAAGGAGTATCAGAAAGTCGGGCTGTCATTCAAGGTCCTCAGCCAAGCCTTTGAAATTGACCAGCAGGCATACTCTACTGGACTCAACCAGGCTATCTCCTTCACTGGGGACGCGTATGAATCCATCGGAGACTATTTTGCTGAGCAGCCCAGCAAGGATCTTGATCCAATCATGGACTTGTTAGGTCTTTACCAAGGACACCTGGCAAACTACCCAGACATCATCCATGTCCAGAAAGGTAAAATAACAACACGGTCATACACATTTTTATAGATTTTCACTCACGTATTTATCATTTTGTATAAGAGTGCTTTGCTCCCAGTGGCAAAATGATTATTATGTTTTTATGTCTTATGATTTATGACATCAGAACAGATGCCTTTAATGTTTAGGTCCTTTCTTCTTTCTTCTCCTATTAAAAACAATACGGATGATAAATTATACTAAGATTATTATAAAATAATGATATACAGTCAGCCTAAGCCCAAAACCAAATAACAAAGGCAATATGTAAAAGATGCACACAATTTCAGTCCCAGAATAACACTGGGAGGCAAATCTCATTAAAAAACGAGTCACGTGAAATGCTTCATAACCCTGGTGTTTGAGTTAATTTAAAATTCATCACATACACATATGAAATTCCCCAATAGGACACCTGTGGGATCATACATCCAATTCACACTGACTGGCTGAGGTTAAAGTAAAGACGTAAGTCTGTTTGTGGGCTGTAAAAAGATAAACAACATAATTTGTCAACAGCAGGCAGCAGTCAGGCCACAACTATAGCTTGTGCCACTTTGCAAAACAAATACGCCGTGTTTGCAATTGGATGTTGGTTTACATGCTGCTGCCTCCCGTTCGTCCCACCTGCTGAATTGGGCGGCTCCAGTTTGGCTGTGTTTGATTTTCCATTACAGGTGAAAATGTTGCACATTAATGTTCTGGAGAAGGGAGGCTGTCCTGCCTGGCTTGTCGATCACAACTTGGACGCAAAATAAGATTTGCAGCTGAATCCTTCGCAAACGATTGTCAAACATGTTTTGTAGTCTTTGCACCGAAAGTCAATGTTAGACTAATCGAGGCCACCCTCCTACATGACCCATAACCCAACGATTGTTCTCATTGTGTGGCAAAATGTCACTGTCATGAGAGGGCCACGCTGTTATGCAAGAGGCAGTGCATTGTATCACTAGTGTGTTTGGAGGGAAGCTCTCACTGCTGTTTGCCATGTGTGAGCATGTGGCACAGCCGCTTGCTTCTGATGGGGAAGAGAAAACGATAATCGAAAGACTGTGGCATGTAGCTCAAACCAAACTACCCTTCCTCTGTGTAGGTTAAACCTGACTGACTGCTTTCTGAACATTTAAATATGTGTGCCTTTGTGCTTTCTGTTTGTAGATCTCTCTTTAAATCACATGAAACGTAAAGCTTTACTATCACTGACAACTGGAAATTGAGAACCCTGTCTGAAACAGTGCCATGTAGGACACCACATAGGACCCTTAGGACACTTGCAAACATTAGATTAGATGATGTGAACTAATCCTTCTCATTCCATGCTTTATGTTCAGTCCCGGTGCTCTAACTTACTTAAAAAATCACATGACTCTCAGGATGAGGGTGGGAAAATAATCTTTTCATTAACCAGTCAGAGTCTCCAGTGGTGTTCAGTATTTAATTTAAAAGGAACACGATCCTAAAAATAACTTCCAAACTATGGCTGACTAAGTAGAGCCACAGTCTTTAGCATTTTGCTGGTAACTTTAATTCCCCACGTTGCAATCGTGGTTTATCATTTGGGCCCCTTGCAAACACTGGGGCCATTCAATCCACAACAGACAACACTTTGGAAACAGCACAGACTGTGTTTAGGCTGCAGTGGGACACAAACTTCCCAGTCAGCTCAAATCAAGTTTACCACGTAGACCTCACACAGCCCAAATAAGGTGACACAGCCGTTTAAGCAGTCTGGTGTGATAAGCCTCAGCCTAATTCCACAGATAGAAAACTCTGATTTGATACCCACACATGGAAGACCTGGCTGCGGGCACATTGTTGTAGAAAGGATGACAGAGTGCAGTGAAACAGGGCTTCACCGGTGTGGTTGACTGGAAACAAAGCTGAAAGCCAGGGCATACAGCAGATGAAAGGAGGACCGCGTGTAGCATGTTAAATCCAAAATTACTTTGATCTCATATTGGTTTTAGTGGACTGAGGCTGTTTTTTTATTTTGAGTCTGGTTGAGTTAGTTTTTTTTTTTTTCATTCTCTTTCCCCTAAATCATCATGAAAGTGAAGAACCCATTTGTAATGTCTTTCTATTTATAGGAAAAGTAGACAAAAATACAAGTGAACCCTAGTTTCTCTTCTCACTATGTGCAAGCAGAATGTCTGTGAGACCGCTCATGCTACTAGGCCAGCTAGTGTATATTCTGCCAGTATCTGCAAGGGGATATAAACATTTATTATGCCGCACGATCATGACAGTGATATATCAGAGCAGTTAATGTGAATGCATTTCATTAAATATGGCAGTGCCCTTGTTCATGACAACTGAATGGCTGCTTGTTACTCAAATTGCCAACATGTTTCCAGGGAGCGTTAAATGCAAATACCCTCCGCAAAGGTTATTGACGCTCTAAAGTCTACTTATGTTGTCTACTCACCTGAAGGTGTTGTAGAATCATCCATCCCTTGACAACCGTTAACAATGCAGTGGAATGACTGTAATTAGGGAGAAAGGTACGTCAAAGAATAGGTTGTTTTTTAATGAAGTCATAAACACAGCTTAAATTTCACCGGCGAATCTTTTTGTGAAGACAATACTGTGCAGCTGTGAGTTTATACCTACACCAGCCATGTACATGTTCTGACTTTGGGCTTCTGTCTACCCCTTGCCTCTCTCCCAGTCTCTCACATATATTTATTAAAACCCTTCCTCTTCTACCCATGTACTGTACATCCCATCTGTTGCGCCATTTTTGAATACGCCTTTCCTGATAAACGTGTGCAGGAAATGTCCACAAGTGCTCTTCTTCTGTTATGAAGTGAGGTTTATTGCCGTCCTCTCCCACCTCGACACCCGAGAGAGTCCAGGCCACATCCTCTGTTGTCATAAACCAGAGTACACATTTCCGCTACAGAAGTGGTCACATAGAAACTTATTGAGCCAAGTAGGTCAGCTGGACTGAACAGTGTGGTCGCCATGCATTGGTGGAGGGATAATCAAGATTTCAGTCAGAAGGTCAAATGGGAACCATAGCAGCTTTAAAGTTACAGGTTGAGCTTTAGCGTTAGTGTATTTTCCATCTCTTGAGGCGGCCTTGCAGTCATATCATTGTTGTTCTCTTTAGGAAAAACCTGTCACAACATTTGCTGTCTCATGTGGACCTTTATTTGATCCCATAGAAGAGACCAGTGAAATGTGAGCGTTCCCACTGAGAGACACTGAACATCACCTTATTGATTCCCACCTCTTCGGGGGCCCCATTAGCCATTAGCGCACAGCTTGACCAGGACAATGATATTGACATCGTATCTGATGTTGCTTTCAAAAAACGTATTGAGCTTCACATCCTTTATTTTTGTACCTTCTTTATTTTTGTCCCAATCTTATATTTTGGCCGTGGCAGCATTAGGTTTTGTTGTTGCTTATTATTTCAAGCGCTGTAGGAAGGGAGGAGAAGGGTTTCATAAATGGTCACTGTTTACAATCCAGAAATAGGCTCAGCTCTGGTTTGGACAATTACCACCGAAGCTGTTTGTTTTTATAAGTGAAGAAACAACCATTGAAATGCTCCTTTTCAGCATTACTGGAGCTCAAGAGAGGTTTTAATCGAACATTTTTTTTAGTTTTTGGCCGCATACAGTGCAGTCTAAAAACAGTCCAACAACTTTGCAGATGTGAAAACACACATCCCTTTTTTTTTTTTTATCGCAGCCAACAGTCTATTTGTGATGTGAATATTAAAATTCCCCCAGCTATGCTTACTGTACTGTAAGTTCTTGTTCAAACACTTGCTCAGTGATAATATTTATCTTGCCTGCATTGCTTCTTAGAAGGAAGAACTTATTGTTAACTTTAGACCAGGATATATTATCACGGTAGCTAAAATAATAGAGCACCACCCACTTTCACCACAAGTTGGCAAATAATGTTTTTAATCAGTAGATAAGAATGATCAGACACACACACACATCAGTCTTTATCAGGCTGACGGAATTGACCACTTCCACGGAAGAGCACACATTGATGAATTATGCAAAGAGGAATGTCCTTTATCACATTTACACATTGTAGTTTACGATTGTCTGTTTCTCTAATTTAATCAGTTCGCTTCAAAGCATAGAATGTAAATCCAGTAGGGGAAGAAACTGAGCTAAATCTGCTGTGAATTAAGGTTATGTTAATAAGTAATCCAGCTGGAGAAATGCTTTTTGAATTGGCTTACTTCTTCTCCATTTTCACTTTATTTATAAGCTCTCTTTCCTTTGTTAATTTGACCTATTCAGCACACCACTAAGAGCTGTATTTTGTCTGATCTCATCACAGTTTTATCACCACATGAAGTGATAAAACAATGGCCGGCAAGTAAGGGAAAGCACCCATTTACAAAGATGTCAGGTTTTTCCTGCTGAGTCAGCCTTTTAGCCGACACTCCTTCTGTGCAAACGCTGCGGGTCTGTCTCATATATTGTTTCAGGCTATTTGAATGTCCTCTAAAGCACAAATGGATGACCGAGGTGGTGGAGTGATGAGATGGGGATTGCCGCCGGTTGTTCAGGTCACAGGCTCGCAGTAGCTCAGTGTTGTGTAACCAGGCATTACGTAAGAGCTGGAGCCGCAGCTTCCAGTGAGTCCAGGAGGGCTCGGTGCCACCTCCGTACGCCCAGGGAAGATTTCTTTAGAGGCGTTCATCAGGAACTTATTTTATTTATAGTGTGACACTGTAGTACGCCTCAAACCTCATTACTCACTATAAGTGATGCTGGGGTCGGGAAGTAATCAGCTACATTTATCATTTATATCAACACAGCAGCCTTGTGTATCTCGTACTGTACTGGCGGTCTATTTTTATGTCACTCAGTAGTAGTACCCTGGGAAGGCAAAGATGGCAGAAGCAGTGGTTGCACAAGACATCAGATGGGATATGGCATGAGTTAATAATCTAAAAGAGGATCTATTATGATAAAATCATGTTTTTTTTTTCTGTTATTCATTTGGAGGTAACATTTACTACAAAGTTCCCTCACTCCAGAAAGTAAACAGAAAGGTGTGTTGGATCATAAACCTCAACTGTAAAATAGTGCTCGAGCACAATGTGGATCACTAATGACAATAAATGAAATATCATCTTCAGGTTTTGCTCTGTTGGTCGGACAAAACAAGCAATTTGAAAACTTGCCATTTTTCCCACTATTTTCTAACATTTCATAGGCTAAACAATCAATTAACTGAGGAAATGTTGAGCAGATTCTTCGATAATGAAAATGATATTTGAAGCCTTGACAGACTCACTCTTATGGTGGCTGTGTTTTGGCAGGATGCCTGCAAAGCTTACTTGCAGCAGCTGTGAAAATGATGTGGCTCTGTATATTACAGTTTGCTGACACCATCTTCTGTGACTGAACTCTTGCCTTTCTTATAAAGTCTCCATGGTAACAATTATTCCTCCTTAGTCCATTAGTGGGCTTTTAAAACGCAGGAAGCCAGAGACCTTTAAGGTACAGTAAACACCTTTGGGATTGACATTTAAGTCTTTGGACAGCTGTGTTTGTTCCTGTCTCTCTCTCTTCCAGACCCCCGTCTCTCTTCCCTTGTTATCTCTGCCTCTCTTTCTGTCATGTTCAATCTGTTGTGCATTAGAGGAATTTCTAAGATCTGGGTTAAACTGCATCTGAGGGAGCAACAGCCAGAAGGCAAACTGGGCAGATTTTAGGGGGGAAGGGCGAAGAGATGTCTTTTTGGGGAGATTTTGTCAGCATATGTCCACGCTCGGTGTTGTGGTGCGAGTTGTAAAGGAGAAAAAAAAGCAGACATGTAGCATTTTTGTGACAGAAGCCAAAAGAGTGCAGGGTTAGGTCATTATGTCTTCTGTGATCTCACATTTCAGGAACCAAGCCAGCTGAATCAGTCTTTAAAAAGAGTGCTGGTGACTAAGCTCACATAATGACTTGAAAATCCCATGACGGGCCAATACAGGAAGTTTTGCTGCGTGCCTTGACGGCACAAATCTCACCTTCACACTCCGTCCTACAGCTAGCGCTCAGAGGTGACATCGTCTGCGAGCAGTTTTAATACACGTCTTACAACATGCGTCATTTTGAATGATTACAACATGTCAGTGTTAACACTCTAAAACACCACACCAACCAATGTTTCTGTCATATTATCAAGGGACTAAGATCAAATGGGTCTACAGCAAGTTTCATTTAAAACATCTCAGGGCTACACGATCAGTTGATTTACTGGTTATTTTCTTGGTTAATTTGTCAATCAAAATGTGTGTACATGCGCAAGGTGACATCTTCACATATCTTGATTTGTTCAGCCAACAATCCAAAATACAGAGTGTGTAATGTACCTGAAACACAGAGAAGCGACAAGCTCAAAGAAATATTTTTGACAAAACACTTGTTACAGGTGGCTCTACCACCTGATTCTGCTTAGATTATCACATGGGTTGTAAAGTGAATTATAAAAAAAAAGGGGAAACGTCCCCTCTTTGGCTTATAAATCAAGTTGCAAATCGGAAAATCCTTTTTTACATGAACAAATTCTAAGGACCTTAAGAAAGGAAATTATGTAAGCACACATACGTTGACATTCACGTCACATTCCTGTCACAACCCATGAATGTCCTCTTTGATTCCGACTGTGACAGGTAAACTTTTTTAAGTAGTTAGATCAGAGACAAGGTCATATCCTGTCAGTTTCTCTTGCATTTCAACTCAATATTTATTGTTCATGACATTTCTTCTTTTACTCGGTTAAAAAATGTCAGCGGTTTGATACGTCATCTGTCATGAGCTGCTGGTGTTTTGACCCTGCCTTCTGCTCCCATCCAACCATCTGTCTGGGAACTTGTAGGCTAATGTTCTTGTTTTGGCACCAGTATGGCTCAAGGCTTATTCTGCAACAAGCAAAAACTCAGAGAGGAGGTTTTTTTTATTTTTAAGGAAGCAGCAGCAGTGACAGTTCATGTGTGTCAAAATGAAGGTTCATTGTGTCTTGATCATCTTATGCCACAAGAGTTTAACACAAGACGACAGCGAGTTGCTCTTCCTGGCAGAGTGGAATCTCAGGGGTATTTTACTTTCAGTATGAGTGTGATATGCAGTGTTTTCTTGTCAGATGTTTATTTAAATTGACCTGTAGTGATATCCACAAGATGAATAAAAAAAGAATTGAAACTCAACAATAACCACAGAATGACAGTGATGAGAAATATCAACTAGTTTTAGAATAAAACTTCCCTAAAGAGTGTAAACTGTGTTTCGATAAAATAATTCATGTGAAATGTCAACTTCCTTTAGGTACTGTTGCTAATGGAGTCTAGCATTTTGTTCTCGCACAATAAATATGGGAGATTCACCCCTCAAAATGAATTACCTCTTTAAAACAATCAGCTCCTGATTTCAGACACTATTAGACAAAAGCTCTCATTACTAAACTCTGTCGCAAGCAAATTTTGTGAACCTTAGCTTCCAACCATATAAATGTCACTGAATGACTTATGAATGTTTGTAGCTGACTTTTTCTATTCTAATTTAATTTCCTTCTGACATTATACCATGTGAATGCTTAGTTTTCTTACTTGAACAAGCAAAACTAAGGCCAAATGTGTGCTTTATTGTTTGTTTAACTTTTAACATTGTAAGGGAAACAACTTTTAGGATGAGGCCTAACTATTGTGTTAGCAAATGTAATAATATAAATGTAAATTTCACACAAGTTGAAACCCCACACAAAATATAGTAAGCCAGTAAAAACACTCTGTTATATTCATATTGTTTAATCCATTCATCTCTTACACTTGTGAGTGTGTGTTTCCTCTTTTATATGTGGAGCATCTCTCTCACTGCAGCCCCCATGTTCATTGTTTCAACATGTGGAGAGATCCAAAGCTTGACAGGCCTGCTGTGCCTAGTTATGGTTGCTAAGGTATTATTGGACAGTCTTTGTTCAGGGGAGGAGTCTAGCAAGCGCTGAATAGCTTAACCATGACATCAGCATTAAAGAAGACATGTTCACATTTAGTGGGCAGTCGTCCGTGTTCATACTGAAATCGCCCACTATAATTGTAAATGGCATCAAACTGCCTGCACAATCCCCTTAAATGGTTGTTTAGAAAAGGAAGTGACATATTGTAACAGATATGCTTTTTAGAGTCGGACTCCCTCACATTCCCTAACTATAGACACAGATGTGGTTCTCAGGGAGTTTGGAACAAACTGTTCATCAAACTATTTTTGGTTCCTGTTCCTTGAAGTTATAAATTTACTGCCAAGCTGTGCTCTTGAATCTTAATAGCAAACACTATTAAGATTATAAATTAACTTTCCTGTGCAAGAGTCACATGTCTGTTTAATGAGTTTAATGTTAGGTTTAAGAAAATAAATCTCATGTCTTAAGGAGGGAACATTGTTTAAAATGTAGCCTATTTGTGGGCTGTTTTCACTTTCTCACACAGGTTAAAATAGGGATGGATGATTTGACCAAAACATTGATAAATAAATGGTGTGGGTGTTCTGCATATGTATAACATGCACTCATGTCATGCATCACTTTAAAAAATAAACATACAAAAAAAAAAATATATATATATATATAAAAAAATACATCTTGATTATTATTTTTGCCCTCTCTCCCCAAAACAGGAGCCCTGACGAAGGTGAAAGAGAGCCATAAGCATGTGGAGGAGGGCAAGATGGACCGGGCACAGGCAGAAGGCATCAACGAGCGCTGCAACATCATCTCCTGTGCCACGCTGGCCGAGATCCAGCACTTCCACCAGATCCGCGTGCGCGACTTCAAGGCCCAGATGCAGCACTACCTACAGCAGCAGATCGCCTTCTTCCAAAAAATCACAGGCAAACTTGAGGAGGCTCTGCAGAAATACGACAACGCGTAATAGACGGCTCGACTCAGCCCGTCGTTTTAGACCTTGGTGATCCATGACCGTGCACCTCCCTCGGCCCAGCCAGTGGAGTTTTGGCAAACAACAGCCAGTATCAAATGCTGCTGAACGCTGTTCATCCAGCAGGGAGGGACGTTCAAGGAGATTGCACTCTAGTGAAAATGACATTTCTACCAAATCTGGGTTTCTGTGTGTGTTGGCCAATTTTTTTTTTTCGGGGGGTGACCAGATGTCCTTGTTTAAGAGAGGACGTGTAATTTAATGAAGTTTGGCCAACTTGTAATACAAACTTTTGCCTTTTGATTTAATGAAAATCAGCGATAACGATGGATGTGGGTGAATTCAATCTAATCAATGTTATGACCTGCAGAGAGAGAGAGAGAACCTTGTATCTGCTGCTGCCTACACACAACAGTGGCAAGATTTCATATAGCAAGTGTTTTTAGCCTTACAACACTGTGTTTAAGTGCAGCAACGCACCAGTGGCTAACACACTGCCTTCTGGAAAACACTCAAGCCCTTCCCTGTTTCTCCCTCCTTGGACAAACAGGACAAAATGTTTACAGTCTCCTCGCTGAGCAGCCACTGTCCCCACTGTCTCGCTGTGCCTTCTGATTACATCTCTCTGGTCATTTTTGTTACTAGTTACTAAAAAAAAAAGCTTTATATACTGTATATGTGGAAATATAGTCTATTTGTTTTTACAATGCTACAAATTTTGCAGTCTTTGAAAAAAATAATTGATCACTATGCTTTGAATGAGGGCAGTGTCTCTTACGGGAGATAATATTGCTTGATTGTGCCGTTCCCCCGCCGTGGCCACAGGGATTGATTTTCAACACGCACAGTGTGGAAAATCAGGATCAAGAGAGGATTACCTGCTTTGACAATAGGAACCCATGCCTTACACACGGCGCAGCCAGCACTGGTGCTGATTTAAGCTTGCAGAATTTAAGGGACGAGTATAATGGACGCTTGCAACGCCGGATACCTGAATTTCTACCGTCAGAACGTCGATTTTCAGGGTTAGTTTTGGGGTAGTGTTCAGAGGCAGGCTGATAGAGGATAGAGGGTTCCTCGCCTGTTTTAATGATGCAGTCTTTTTATTAGCACACTTCTAGACAGACTGTACTGCTGTTTCTAACCTTTATGATGTTGGTTGCATCATGAAGAGATTAACATAGAAGCAGAGACACAAATAAATTCCTCATTCACAGAAAGCTGTTGGTCGGTCGTGTGTGTGTTTTTTTTTTTGTGTACTTTAAATATGTGATCACCCTTGACTTTTTTTCTTGCTTATTTGATTCAACTGAATGTGTCTGATCACTTCTGTCCAGACCCCAGATGTGACTGCAGTGAAGAACATTGGGGGGAAAGACAATAAAAAAAATTGTGAATGTGCTGACAGGTTAATTTGCCTTTTAACGGTCCCTTCAAAGTCCCTCAGTCGCACTGTAGAATTTATATGACCCGTGTAATGTAGCCACAGGATCACTTTATAATAGCAGGAAGACGGAGAGATCAAACTGGATGGCTCTGCAGGTTTCCTTGGCTGCATCCCTGGAGGACTGGTGTGCCGTGTCAATGTTTCATGCCAAGCTCACAACTCGGCTCGCAGATCTGCTGACAGCGCAGAGCCCGGCCAGCCATCTGGGACATCTGGCCACTGTTAGAAGTGCTGGAGCGGATGACAGTGAACGTGTTGTGAACAGGAAAAGGTCAAAACTAGTGAGGGTAGGTTCTCTTTAGCTGTCATCACCATCACCACCACCACCTATAACCGAGACAACCAACATTGCTTATTGGAGATAATGTTTTCTCCTCGCACAGGCGATCTGATTTGTTGAAAAATATTCTCCCTGTGCACGTCGACAGTTCTGTGCAATGCTGGCCCGTTGTTTGCTATCTGGAGACAAATACACGTTTCTTTTTTTACCTGATGAGAATCCAGTTTGACAGATGTGATGGTGAACAGATAGCAGCAGCTTCCATCACCACTGGGTCATAAGAAGCAGCCACTCAGTTCTGTAAATGTGTTTATATGGTAATATCTTCCCACCAGCAGTTTATGTGCTCTGTCCTCTTCTGCCACTGCTTGAAACCAGAATACAGAGTAGGAAAGGTAGGAAAGGTTACCAACTGTATATTCTCCTGCAGAGATAACTAATTCAAGGCCAATAATATTAATTAAATGTACCGTGATGCTGCTCAGTGCTGTGATAAAAGGCAACCAGCCATTCCCCCAAACATTAGAGTGTCTTTATGTATAGTTAATGAATCATTTTAAAGGGATAAGCAGATGCCTTTTAATTCCAGCCAGTCTACAGCAAATGCATGCAGCTCTGTGTGGCTCTACTTAAGCACACTGGTGCTTTGAGCTAAATACAAACATCAGTGTGCTAACATGCTCTCAGTGGCAATGCTAAAATGCTGATGTTTAGCATAGGGTGCCCCACTTTATGTCTGACTGCACAGCATTTTAACCCCTTGTCCCACATTCCACATATTGAGACAATATTCTACATTTTGATTGGCTCTAGTTTTTAAAAGTCACTGCAGGACAGACGCTTTTCTGAAAATCTGGTTTTCATCCAATGGCTGTGAAGAAAGCAGGGAAGGCTGTCAGATTTAGGTGGAATATGATGGAAACTGACAAAATAAAGCAAATAGAGCTACAACAAAGACTGGGAAACCACTTACACTGAGAGGAACCGGTGGAAGGTGACTATCGCAGATAATCACAGACCAACATAGGAACTGTGAAACTTTAGCTTCCTTTTTTTGAAGTTACACATTACATCAAACTTTTAGACTAAAATGAGTAAAGGGTCCCACATTTTCCCACACAAACATACTCTTTATCCCACATTTGGCCCGTTGTGATCCATCCAATAGTTGGACATTGCTCTAAAAAACAAAAATGTCACTGTGTTGGTGGAAAAGTCTGGGTAACACCAATATCAGTTTCACCCTCCGGGAATCACAAACATCTGTAGAAAATGTCATGGCAATCCATCCAGTAGAGATATTTCAGGTTGGATTAAAGTGGTGGACTGACTATTTCCATCTGCAGAGCTACACTGTTAATAAAATAATATCCTGTCATGTGGAAGCTAAGTCTGCTTGGAAAGTGCAAAATCTCACCATCTCCTTTCTCTTTCCCGTCCTCTACTTTTCTATTGCAATCTCTGGTTTTCATTTTCGACGTGTACTCGACAAGATGCACACAGCCTTTAGTAATCTCATCCCTCAGGCCTTCTGTCAATACTGCCAATGCTCAGGGAAATGGGTGCTCCTGTTTTTACATTCTTGCTCTTCAAGGCTTTGGTTGTTCTGAATTAGTAAAACTGATAAACATTAGACATATGTAGCTAAAAAAAAACAGATTAGGTTGACGGTTGTGAAAGTAACGTTAGATCTACACCTTATCAGAACAATGACTCTGTAGTGTTTTTTGGGTTTCTGCATCGTTGTTTAGTGCAGACCATGCATAACCTCGCAGAGTGCAACGGTTTTGTGTCAGGTCGTTGTCTTCAGTGCAGTGCAGTTATTCTAAGATGGGCGGGGGGGCTGGTTTTTTACTCACCACAGTGTAGCAGACAGGAAACAACGGCCCTCGAGTCAGACTTGGATTTTTGTTGAGACAGAACAGTGTCAGCAGCTGACCACATTCCACAGACACAAATGTCAAAGTGTGTGAAACCGATTGCCACAAGAGAGCCGGAAATACCTTCCAGATGCTACAGGGGAGAATGATAACCGAGCATGACACAAGTGATACAAGAGACTGAGTGGAATTTTCTGGAGGATTTGTTCTGGGAGAGTTTGTAATTGAGGCATTCGTTGCATATTAACTCCAACAAGAAACATTGCGCGTCCTAAATAAGTTGTCGTCACTGCTCCTGTGAGACTTGGCTTGCTTCCTTTTGGTCTTGCAGGGTCTCTCTGGGATTCACTGAAAGTAACAAACATTCTGTACCTTTGTCGTCAGCGTGTGATGACCCAAAAATGAGAAAATCTGAGAACCTCTTCCCAGCTGCTCATTTACTGCTCTCACACAAGAAAAAAAAAAAGGAATAATTTGACAGCATATTCAGCAGTTGAGTATTTTTTCTGTTTTCATAAGACTTGTTTGCACATTCTAGAAATGAGTTTGTTATCCACGAGTTTCAATCGTTGGCACTGAGAAGCATAACAGTAGTTGAGAGTTTCCCCCCTTTAATGAACTGGCACTGACGCCACATTTGACCACATTGCTTTCATAAGGACTGAATCAGTGTCTCGAGATCCTTGCGTCGATTACACCCAATTCCTGTTGCACCCTCCCTGTGCAACACTCTGATTCCACAGTGAAACCAAGAAACAAGGACAAAAATCTCTAAAACTGGTCAGGCTCATTTCTATGTGTCTGTCAGTCACAACCTAAGCTTAGATCGCACCATAACACCTGTACATCTGCTAACTAATACACCCTCAACTCTTCACCTACCTCTTAAAAGCACTTACAGTCCCATGACATAATTTCACACTTAATGCCACTGTGTGTTGGACCTTGACTTCCTCTCATTGCTTCAGCTGATTAAATGTTACATTATAATGCCAGGAAATGCCCTGAGGCAAACCACAAAGATTTAATCCCTCACATTTCTTCTTGCAGTATTACTATACCAGAGGAGGAAGTGCAAAACCAAACACAGGATTTCTGTTAAAAGGACATTGTTCTTTTTAGATTGGAGTACTATATTTCAAGCCAAGGTGTCACTATGAAAAAAACAGAAGATGTTGATATTGCATGGTTTGTTGAAACAGCTGCTGTTTGGCGCTCCCCATTGCGCCAGTAGTAAAGGACATTATAGTAGTTTAGCGTTGTACATTTCAGCTGTTCTTCCTTTAACTTTAGAATTTGGGCTTTAATTCAGTTCTTCCTCTATGATATGATTTTATGACAGTAGAAATACAGCATGGCAAGGCAGCACAGTGGTGCAGTTGTTAGCACTTTATGGAGTTTGCATGTTCTCCCTGTGTGTGTGTAGATATTCTCCGGGTGCTCTGGCTTCCTCTCACAGTGCAAAGACATGCAGGTTAGGTTAATTTGTGACTCTAATTTGTAGGTGTGAATGCTTGTTTGTCTCAATGTATCAGCCCTGTAATGAACTGGTATTTTTGGCCCAATGTCAGCTGGGATTGGCTCCTGACCCTCACAACCCGGTTGAGCTTGTAGATAATAGCTGGATGGAAATACAGCATTCATGTTGCAGGTACAAGTAATCCACCAAGAATGCATGTTTTTGATTTGCCACTGCAGTGCCTTGCCAGATGACGTTGCATTGTAAGATGGCGAAAATTTTAGCTAACTTAACTTAAACTTTTTTTCCTGGGTGATCCTTGGGTCTTTATCCCCTGAGCTGCCACTTGGGGCATTTTCAGAAGCATTTTTGTTATATTTGTTGAAATTCTGTTTTACATCTAGATAGAAATCAATAAATCAAATGTTCTGGAAAAAAAGGAAAAAAAGACATTTACCCTAGTTTGCATGAGTGAACTTCTTCACAAAAGGTTGCCTTTTAATGGATCCAGCAAATACAGATCAAAATTTAGGTTCCATTTTGGGTCATGTTTCTGGCTATGTGGTGAAAGTAAGCCTAATATTGTCTCCCCTTTAAAATCTGCTTTGATCTCTACCAACTCCTGACAGAAATATCATGTGTCTCTATAGCTGCTAAATGCTCCACTGTGTTCACCAGCTAGTCACTATCTTTGTCTGCTGTTTGGTGGTGACGTACTCTGGATTTTTAGAGCTTATTCGCTGAAAACTGCTGCCTGCTGCAGCACAGAACAACACTGTTAGAGCGGTAAGACTGAACTAAAACAAGTTGGTGGCGTGATAACCAATACAATGAGCTGAAAGACATTAAAACGCTCTGTATGCTTGAAGAGAAGTGTCAGGTGATAATTACCTGTGTGTTCATCACTGCAGACGGCCCGCTTTCACATTCAAGTGATTCATTGTTAATATAAGAATATAAATTATAGCCACACAAGACAAAGAATAAGTGTGTTCCCCAAATGTCAAACTATTTCTGTAATAGTCAGGGTGCAATTTAAATCATGAAACTGACAGGAATGTTAAATGTATTCCAGGGTTTTAGTTAATTAATGCCAATAGACATAGTCAGAATCCCCATGTCATAATGTGCAAATGGAGACATGTTTATCAAGA